GACAAGAAATTGTTTAGTGTAATCGGGTGCTGCCAACACAGGGGCCTCACTCAATGCCGTTTTGAGCTTCTGGAAAGCGTCCGTGCACTCTGGGGTCCAGGCGACCTGTTTGGGAAGGGCCTTTTTGGTAAGGTCCGTGAGGGGCTTGGCCAGGGCGCTATATTCTGGGACGAACTTCCTGTAATACCCGGCCGTCCCTAAGAAAGCCAGTACCTGGGTTTTGGTCCGGGGTTGGGGCCAGTTAGCTATGGCCTCTACCTTAGCGGGCTCTGGGCGTTGTCTACCGGAGCCGACCCGGTGACCTAGATACTGGACCTCGGCTAGGCCTACGTGACATTTGTCGGGTTTCAAAGTGAGCCCGGCGAGGTGGATTCGTTCGAGTACCCTGGACACATGACCCAGATGGTCTCCCCATGTGCGGCTATAGATGGCAATATCATCTAGATACGCACATGCGAAGTCCTGCAACCCCTCCAGGAGCCTATCCGCCATCCGCTGAAACGTAGCCGGGGCGTTCTTCATCCCAAAGGGCATAACCTTGAATTGGTATAGCCCAAACGGGGTGACGAACGCCGACTTGGGGATGGCCGCAGGCTCCAGGGGAATCTGCCAATAACCCTTGCACAGGTCCAGGGTAGTCAAGTAGTTCCCCCCCGCCATACGATCTAAGAGCTCATCTATTCTAGGCATGGGGTAGGCATCGATTATGGTACGGTCGTTAAGCCTCCGGTAATCTACACAGAAGCGCGTAGTGCCGTCGCGCTTCGGTACTAGTACCACCGGGGAGGCCCAAGGACTTTGGGAGGGTTCTATTACCCCTAGCCGTAACATATCCCTTAACTCGGTGAGCATACTCTCACGTACTGCTTCCGGGATCCGATATGGCTGTTGCGGTAGGGGCGTCTCTCCCTGGGTTTCCACACGGTGTACCGCAGCGGAGGTATAGCCGGGGGTAGCGGAAAACATCTCTCGGTATCCCTGCAGCAGATGGGTAGCCTCACCTTTCTCCAGGAGGTCTAAATTTTGCCCCAAGCTTACTTGGTCAATAGTACAGGGGGTGGTATCCAGTAAGTCAGGAAGGGGTAGCCCTTCACTATCCTCTGTGGCGGGGGCGCACACGGCGCCCACCTCCTCTGTCCTTTCAAAATATGGTTTGAGCATGTTCACATGGAAGGCTTTGGTCCGCCTTTCATCTGAGCATTTGCTCACGATGTAGGTAGTCTCGCTAACCTGTTCCACTACCTTAAAGGGTCCCTGCCAGGCTGCTTGCAGCTTGTCCTTTTTAACGGGCCTCAGAGCCAGTACCTTCTGTCCTAAGTCCAGCACTCTATCCTGGGCCCTCCTATCGTACCACTTTTTCTGGTCCTCCTGGGCCGCCTGCAGGTTCTCCCGAACCGATTCGGTGAGGGCCCGCAGACGGTCCCGGAACTCCAGGACATACTGGACGATAGGGACTCCCCCCCCATCTGTATTGCCCTCCCAGTGTTCCCGTACGAGCTCCAGTGGGCCCCGAACTTTTCTCCCGTACAGGAGTTCGAAGGGGGAAAACCCAGTGGAGGCCTGGGGCGCCTCACGGTAGGCAAACAGAAGGTGGGGAAGGAATTTTTCCCAATTCTTGTGGGACTCTGTAAAAGTTTTTAGCATCTGTTTTAGAGTGCCATTGAAACGTTCACAGAGCCCGTTAGTCTGGGGATGATACGGGGCGCTGAACAGGGGCTGCACTCCACAGCTCTGCCACAGTTGTTGCGTCAGGGTGGCTGTGAACTGCGTCCCCCGATCGGAGAGTATCTCCTGCGGGAAACCTACTCGGGTGAATATCTGAATAAGGGCCTCTGCCACGGTCTCGGCCTCTATATTGGTGAGGGCGACTGCCTCCGGGTATCTAGTGGCGTAGTCAACCACCGTTAGGATAAACTTTTTGCCCGACGGACTGGGGCGACTGAGTGGACCTATTAAATCCACCGCTACTCGGTGGAAGGGCTGTTCGATGATGGGTAGGGGGTGAAGCTTAGCCTTCCGAAGGTCTCCCCTTTTTCCTACCCTTTGGCATACATCACATGTCCTACAATAGTACTTTAGGTCCTGGGTAGCTCTGGGCCAGAAGAAGGTTTGAGTTAACCTGTCTCTGGTCTTTTTGACCCCTAAATGTCCTGCTAGGGGAATGTCATGACTGAGTTTTAACAGCTCAGCCCGAAATTTACGGGGCACAACTAACTGTCTTTTTATGACCTGGGTAGCCCCCTGTCCCACCCCCTCGGTTACCCTATATAGCAACCCCTTATACCACTCAAATTTTTCGTGCGGGTTGTTCTCGGGGGTAGCGGCCGCGGCCTTCCTATAGCCTTCTAATGTGGGGTCAGTACGCTGTTCCTGTTCAAACCCCTGGGGGGTATCCCAGAAGGGTACGGGAGGATCGGGTAAAGGGGGTATTTCGACTCTTACCTGGTTTTCCTCAGAGTGCAGCGGAGCTTCCAGTCTGGCTTGAGCTCGGGTGGTAACCGGGTAGGCCTCGGCAGGGGGGTCTCGGGCTAGTTGGGAGGTTAGGCATCCCACATCATTTCCCAACAAAACCTTGGCGGGCAGTTCTTGCATAATCCCCACCTCCAGTTGTTTAGACCCGGAACCCCAATCAACAAACATATTAGCGGTGGGCAGTTTGTGAATAGCGCCCCCAGCCACCCTTACAGCGACTGTGCGTCCGGTGCGAGCTTGTGCTCTGACCGTGTGGGGCTGTACCACAGTCAAAGTAGCCCCAGAGTCTCTCAGCGCTCGGGCCCCCACGCCATCGACGGTAATCCATTGGCAGTGATGGTCCCGGTTGTCCCCCCCAGCTTGTACTGGATTGACCTCATGTAATACACTCCACTGTTCTTCGTGGTTAAGGCCAGGGCCTGTGTGATCCTGTTGCACACAGTGCGCAGCTGCCCTGGGTTGTTGTGGGGCTGGCCGTTCCCAGCTTCCCCGGTTTAAGCGAGGGCACTGATACTTGTAATGTCCTGGTTGCTTGCAGTAGTGACACACTGCAGGAGGTCGAGGTGTGTTTGCTGGGTTCGGTGGGGGGTTACCTATGGCAGGTCTAGGTGGAGCCGGGTTGGTTGGAGCTGTGTACTGAGGCTTAAATGGTGGTCTGCTCGCCCCTTGCTCTTTCCTCCTGTTATCCTGGTACTCGTCCGCTAGCCTAGCGGCCTCCTCCACGGTTTTTGGTTTCCTATCTTTTACCCAGTCTTTTATGTCCTCTGCAGTATGATTAAAAAATTGCTCCAGTATCACTAGTTGTAAAGCCTCTTCTAGGGTGTTTGCCTGGCAGCCCTTCATCCAATTGCGGGCTGCCCGCTGCAGGCGAAAAGCCCATTCCGTATGGGAATCTCTCCCAGTCTTTCTCAGGTCTCTAAACTTTTTCCGGTATGCCTCCGGAGTTACCGCATATCTGGCCAACAAAATGTCTTTTATTTTCTCATAATTATGTATGTCCCCCTCAGGTACTGCTCGCAGCGCCTCGGCTGCTCTACCTGACAATTTACTGCTGACGACTGCAGCCCATTTGGTGGAGTCTAATCCCTCCAGTGCACACTGGCGTTCAAAGTCTTGCAAGTAACTGTCAATTTCCATTTCATTGTCAACAAATGATTTAAACGCTGCATAATTTACCTTCTTTGGTATTTCCCCAATACTTCTCGGGGGGTGTAGCAAATCCCCCTGTGACGCTCTGTCCCGGTCATCTCGCTCTTTTTGCGCTTGTCTGGCTTGTGCTACGACCTGCAGTATCGCCTCTGAGGATGGATTGGGTCCCAATAAACTGAGTGTCCATCGGATGTCCTTTTGCATCACGGTTTCTTCCTCTTGGTCCATCTCTATATTACTGGTATTATCGCTCTGCATTAACTCCGCAATTATCGTGGCTTTTGTTTTGTTACTTGCCACTCTGCCTCGAGCTTCCAGTAAGTCCTTTAGCGTGGTTCTTTTAAGTAGCTGGTACTGCTGAGCCATTCATTCCTTTGCTTGTTTTGAAATGTCCATTTGGGATTCGAATCCCTCCGCTTACACCAGTTGTAAGGAAATCCCATATAGCTGAACCGCTTTGATAATTCCTCCTGCAATGCCAGCGTCTAAGGTAGTTCCAAGCAATGAAGTCCATAAGAAATATAACAGCTTCCCAAGATAATCCCCTTGGTAAAGCATACGAATTCCCAAATAACAGTCAGAGTCCAGAATCAGGATACAAGTAGATCTGAGGTCTGGAATCTCCAGCCTGCTTTTTATTACGGTTACAGACAAGAAATACACACCCAGGGGGAGGCATTAAATCACCAATCAGGAATAGGTTACAGCCCATACCTCCCTCCCCTCTGATAAACAGTTAACTTAATTAAAACGTGCACTATTTTACCCCAGTTCTGGATGTACCCCAAAAACAGGGGGTACACCTTTAAATCTGGTACCGCTGGATAGTTCTCATTTGTGTGGACAACATATCGAAAAATCAGTCCATTCGGATGAATGGTTCGGGAGTTATGGAACACTAAAGTTTTGACCGACCGCACGGACCATCTAGCCGAAAATAGTTCCATAAGTTTTGGCCCTGCGGTCGGTCTCCGTTTAGGCGAATAAAAGAGACGAAAGCCCTGCCATCCATTCGCATCTTTGTGATCGTTGAAATCCCCATACGAAGTTGCATGTAACTACCGAACGGCCGGTGATTCGGTTGTTCTCGTGCGAAGTTCTGGATGTATGGAGGTCTCAGCGGTGTTCGCCTGTTTGCGTATCCGATTTTAGTTCCACGCGTTGACGGGCAAACACCGCTGTTCGCACGTAAAATGGCTGCGGCCACGTGTAAAGTGCCGAAATGGCGGCCACCTATATTTTACACAGGGAATTCGCCTGAATCCATCCGAAAGGTAGAAATCCCGATTAACGGAGTCATTTCTTCACAATGCCCTCTCATGAATTCCAGGCCCTCCTGGATTCCACTGTGTAGGGCCTTACCTTCTGCGATGGGAGCTATGTCCTCCTCTATCTCCCACTCGTTCGCCCAGGCCCTCATTAACACCAAGGACCCATCGCACTACACCCGGCTCGTGCTGATAAGTCATCCACTATGGCATGCAGGGCATGAGCCAAAACCAGACATGTGTCTCCTCAACCCCTGATACAGGTTGTACCTGAATTGACTGACACGCCTCAGGCGGTCCAAGATGGCGCGATTCCTCCGCTCAAGAAAGTCACTGGCCGGGCAAAATCGTCCAGAAACTGGAAAAGGGTGCATGCCCGGGAAGATAAGTCAAATTCCAACCTGATGATGTGTCTGATGACCCCGATTATGCCTCCTACAAGAAGGCTGACTCTGATTCAGAAGAGGTGTCATCCTCTCGAACCTCTGACCCTGTGTCTCATTCATGGCACTATCACTCTGTCAGCAGGGGTTGGTTATGGTATTCCGGATCCACAGGGTTGCCCCCTGTTCGACTCATATGACCTGCGCCATCCATGCTATGCAGAGTGGGACCCGCCAGAGCGCATAGAGGTTCCTACTCGATGCAAAGACCGTTTTAAGATTACAAGCCTTGGCGGTCGTGGAAAAAACATCAGGAAGATGCCCTTATGGTAAGTATACTGACTGCATTCTTCCCATATAAGCATGGGGGGCAGATTGGCTCTGTTTGTTCATACTTGGGGAATGATCACTACAGATGCGAGGGTTTTGCAAACTGTCATGGGCTTTCGCCTCGTTTTGATTTCCACACCTTTCCAGGCACAACCCCCACGCGCTTCCAATTTTGCCACAAACTAGGAAAAAAATCCTTCTTGACCCCAAAATAGCAGTCAGATGTCTCCTTGGATCAAGCAGCTATTACCACACTAATTAGAAATTATATCCCTGTATGTTATGTTTTTGCAAGTATTTATCCAATTGCAGTTTAATGACTCTGACAAAACCACATCTTCAGGCAGAGAATTCCATATCATTATTGCACTTACTGTAAAAAACAACTTTTCTTTGCCTTAGATGAAATCTCCTTTCTTCCAGCCTAAATGTGTGACCTTGTGTCCTTTGTATTGCCCTGTTTATGAATAGGTTTCAAGATAAAGGTTTGTACTGGCCTAGAATATATTTGTATAATGTTATCATATCCAATCTCAGGCGCCGTTTTTCCAAACTAATGGGTTCATTCACCATTCACAGTCTCACACCTGACCAAGGGAACTTCTGCCTGCAAAACAACGTATCGGTTGTGGCTGAACATATCCCGAGCTTAGATGGGCCGACTGGAATTCAATGTACCTGAGGGATTCGGGGGATTGGTGACTACTCGGTTCAATATTCTGGAAGATCTAACTATTGTAGGGATCACTGGATAAGACCTATTTGCATCCAGACTGAACTACCAATTACCTCTGTACTATAGTTGGCATCCAGATCCATCAGCTCTGGCAGTAGACATCAGGAGTGGCCACTCTCACGACGCTACGCTTTCCCTCCATTCAACCTTATTTCTCAGACACTGTCTTGCCTTTGCAGGCATGAGTGTTCTCTGGCGATAGTTGCTCCTCTATGGCAGACACAGCCAAGGTTCCCTTGACTTCTGGAAATGTGAAAGGATTTTCCTCGCTTGATCCGATGGCCCCTAATCTGCTTCTCGATTCAAATGGGAGGTCACACGACCTCATAGATCAAGGCCCTGGACAATCATGAATGTTCCAAGAGCAACTACCGAACTCCTGGACAACGTCTTTGCCCCGGCACTAGATCTGCCTATCGGACCGCATGGCGATCATGGGCTAACTGGTGCATGGAACGATCAATGGATCCAGTTTCTGCCCTTCTGAATGCGATATAACAATTACTGACGGTGCTTTTCAAATTGAGTAAAGCATATTGTACAGTCAACGTTTACAGATTCACTATTTCTGTAGGGCATCATGGATTGGAGGGTTACCCCATCAGAAAACACCCTTTCGTTTCTGGACTGTTAAAGGGAATAGGATTCGCTACACCCCCAAGAGCAAAATACTCATTGCTTGGGGATGTTAATTTGGTGTTGAATTTATTGGACTCTTGGCTTCCAGATGACAAATTATCTCTCAAGCATCTTTCATGCAAACTACTGATGCTACTATGTTTACTATCTTGCAAACAAGTTCCGATGTCAGAGCTTTGGATTGGACCACAATATCCTTAACTCCAAGGGGCGTATCCTTTGACATCTCTCGTAGGACTAAGTCAGTTACGAAAATGGTTTTCTATCCGAAGTACAATGACAGACCAGCATTATGTCAAGTTACTTGTTTACGTTCTTACCTTGATTGTAAGCGGACGCTGCGATCATCCAACCTTCCTCATCTGTTCATTTCATTTCATAAACCTCATCTTCCAGTCTCTACTCCTACTGTAGCTCATTAGATACGTGACCTATTATCAATAGCGGGTATAGATACTTCTGTTTTTTCAGCTCATTCTCTAAGAGGTGCCATGGTCTCAAAAGCCTCTATGGTGGGTTGCCGTCTTGATGACAAATTAAAAGATGCAGCTTGGTCCTACGAATCTACATTTCGTGACTTCTATTTCCACCCAATTGACAATTTATCTTCTCAAATTGTTGCTCAGCTTTGAGCTAGCATAATAGGAGTCTCAGTGTCATTAATACAATTCCCAGATTTTACTATTAACATGACGTAAAGTCATGATTTTATTAACAACCCGGAGGCGAGTATTATTCCCACCCTCCCGGTGGTTTAGTCTTTACTGGTTCATACGTTGTAGATACTTCACGGTAAGTGTATTCTAAGATATTTCATTAATTAACAATTTAATCCATCATTAATTATGCGTATACATATATATATGCCTAGTATATTTTCCAACTGTCCTAAGTTAGTCCTAAAACTGGATTTTACCATATATCTTTTCTCTATACAACTTAATTGCCGAGTGATTCACTTACCCACGTTGACAGTATTCATGGTGTTTCATGTTTCGGACTGGATTCTGGTCTTCGGCTTTACGGGCAAAGAAAGAGAAGTTTTATGCTAGTTCATACCTTTATAGATTGTCCTGTATCCTGATTGGCTGGCCTATTCCTAGGCAGACTTGTTCTATTTGTTCTATTTTTTCATATATATTCAAGTTAATATAAATATTTTCTCTTTCTATCTTTGCTGCTGAGGGAAAATAAAGAAAGAGAATGCATAATACTCGCCTCCGTGTCATTAATAAAATCATGACTTTTTGTCATGTTAATAGTAAAATCTGGGAATTATACTTAATACTTTTAACTAATAATATCTATATTAAAGCACCCGACTAATAACTATTCCTTAACTCAGTAATGCCCATGTTATAAAGGTCCTCAGTCCACTTCTTAAAGGTTGGGAATTTGATTGAACTCCGATACTAACTGTGTATCCAGGGAGATTGTCTCTAACTCCATATTGCAGGTTAACTTGCTGCGTAGCTTGCAGATCTGCAATTATGGCTGTCAAAAACATGTCAGAGCTCAGCATGTTCCTTCTAGGAGCCTAGCCATTCGATTTTTCTCTCTAATTACATTGAAAGTATTGAGGCGTATTTCTTAAGTAGAGGACTCTATGAACATTATGTTACACTTGCTGTGTAGCTGTACCTCTAGCTACTCTGTTACTGTGTTACTCAAATTTTACTTCTATTAGTGACTGGCCATTGTTATTTTGTTTCTTTTTTTTATAGGTAAACAATTATTTTTTTTCTGTTAGCCTTTGGCTACAATTATTGCCAGTGTTCAATCATATTTCCCACCTTCAAGAAGTGAACGAAGGACATATATCAGTAGTCCAAGCCTCTACTATTTGGCTCCCATGTGATTTAAAAAAAAAATGACTATTGTTAGTTGAAAGTTGTGACGAGAGCAATCTTGCCACATTGCATTGGAGAAGCCTGGTTGCTCGCCTGCTGCCTTTGGATTATGGCCCCATGTTAAAAGACTTTGTTTTCCCTTGCAGAAAAGACTTATTCGTGATTTTCTGCCCGGTGTTCAGTAGATTCAATCTACCAAACAACCGCACGAATGACTAGACCACCTGGGAGCTGGTGTGGGCCGGCAATTAGCCTCCCAGAAGCTGCGGTTAACGGTTAATTGACGAATACTGGGTGGCCGCCATTCGTATAATGAACACAAGGTCGCGGCCATTTTAAACATGCGAACGCACAGCAGTGTTCGGCACTTAACTCATGGAACTAAAAACGGACACAGTTTGGCGCGAACACCGCTGAAGCCGTCGACCTCCCTTCTTGTTCAGCGGGAGTGCACGAACGGTTCGGTAGTTTTACCTGACTGTATTATACCCCAGATAGGAATCCCATCGAGCTCATTCGTATGAGAACTGACTTTGTAAAGACTTTGGCTCCATGGTGATTGAACTGTATTCGTGTGGTCTGAGCGCCATTCGCTTAATAATGTGCGCTCAGACCTGAGCTATCTGGGGATATGTTAAATGTATAGTTTTAATGTAATGTGTCTTACATGGTGTATTTTAATAGTAATTCTTGTGTTAGTATCCCCACGTGCATAATGGCGATTTGCCTTTGTCCTGGGAGATAATTGAATTACTTCTCAATTATCTCCAGGGCAGAGGGGAGGAAGCCAGGATGCATTGTGGGAATATAATGTGACTGTGTGTCCTATTTGTCTACTTGTCTGTCTTTTGTCACAGTTTCCCATTTGGTCCCCTAGGGGAGTGTCCACCAGGTGGGAGACCTGCATAAATACTGGGCAGGTAGCCCTCATTAAACAGACCACTGCTTGACCCTCAACACGGAGCCTTGTCTCGTCTTTGGGGGGATTTACTGAACGCTGATAGAGACTGATTGCTAGGAGTGTAAGCCGCTTGGGTGCTTTTCCTATTCGTCTGCTAGCAGCGATTCGTATGGTACCAGTTCGTGTGTTTGGAGTGCTATATTGTATGCCGTTCGGGAGATTGGAGCATTCCCTTATTTGCGGTTCGGGAGTTTGGTGTTCTACAGTAGCTGTGCCTGCATCTCTGGAAAGGGGACGATCGCCTAAACGGTTTTTACCCCATGTGTGCAAAACGGTCCGTTACAAAAGTCTACTCCCCGTGTTGGTAATGTACTTATGAAACAGGGAGTCTGACAATTGAGGTCTATATTGTAATTGAGGGTTAATTGTATGATATCATGCCTTTGAGAAGTATCCACATAATTTTCACTTTACACAATTTTTACTATGTATTTAATTTCAATAAAACCTTTATCATTTTAGTTTTAATAAAGGGGTCCCCTTCTATTTTTATTTTAGTTTATTTTTTTGTTAATGACAACTCAGTGATGCTGGAGAGGAGGTGGAGTGGCAAGGGGTTAAACTCTGTTTACGCAGGGTTTCATATTGAAGTGCTGAACATACAGGCTCCAGGCACCATCCCCACTTCAAAACACTGATGTGTCCATGGTACTTGGAGTAACCCTTTCAGCGTGTTTGTTGTCTCCACGTATCCAGGCTACAGTCCAGTCCTTTCCTTCATAGAGGTTTTCTCAGTGGTTTCTTGATTCAGCAGTGTTCCAGAGTTTCCTGTTTTGCTCTCCGTGCTTGGATTTACAATATCCTGACCAATGGCTGC